AGAGAGAGAGAGAGAGAGAGAGAAAGAGAGAGAGGGAGAAGAAGGCGACCCGCATTGCAACGGAAAATGCCCTGTAGTGATGCCTCTAGCAAAACCTAACGAAAAAAAAATTGTTTGATAACAATCATAATGATTTCCTAAGTATTGGATTTAAATTGTATTCTCAAGCTAATTTTTTCCCGGAAAAAAATTCGCACTCCAGGGGAGATAGGAACAGTGAAGAACTCCATAATGAATATCACATAATTACATAGTACGCTAGTGCTATTCCCGTTTTCATCGTCTCTGTAGCCATTATTTTTCTAGAATTTTTTAAAATCCAGTTTACTTTACTTGTTGATCATTCGGGGGTTAAAATGTCGTGTTGTTTTATCTATCAAAAAGCGTAATCCGAATTTAGTTCTACTGAATATATTATGCAACTTGGTTTAAGCGGGGAGTCAATAATCAACTCGACTGACTTGATTCCTAAACCAAAGTGAATAAATGACAATTGCACTTTTTGACCACTGACTGACGTTTTTAGAAAAACAAATCAATTTGGTTCGCATGTCGCGTCTACTTTGTGATCTTATCATCCTCTTCAAGGGTCGTTTCAGAAATTTTATCTCAGATATTACTTTGATAACAGCTATCAAGAAAGAAGTTTGTACTGTTTGATGCTAATTTAGGAAAAAAGTTGTCAACGTAAACTTGGTTATTATCGATCATTTTCTTATTAATCACGCTTTTTATTTTGAAGTTTAGGATCTTTCGCGCAATTTGTCAAGAAAAGAAAAGACAAACCCCTAGAAGTTTCGCTAGAGAACTAGACAGATAAAGGATGTAAAATATCGTCATTATGTAATAGAGTCAGTACTTACCTATCGATAGAGATGAATACGATCGACCAGACAGAAACCCCGATAAAGACTTCCGACAAAGGATAAGCAACTTGGCATAGCGCCCTTCCTAGAGGCCAGTAGAACAAAGTTTGTTCTTTGACAACCGCAAACGGAAAGGAGAACAACAATACACCTAGATCAGCTACAGCCAGGTTACAGATGAATATATTGGTAACCGTTCTCATGAACGGACACCTGACGATAGCGATGATCACAGCAATGTTACCCAAAACCCCAAAAAGTGCGAGAAGGACTTCTATTGCCAGTCGTCCAATGCGAAGCCACTGGGGCTCGTCCATGTAATCGGGTAAAAACATCGTTTTGTTCAATGACATTCGACTATTTTTTTAAACTCTGGTCAGAATTCTTTGACTCGCTTACTACAAGACTGCAAGAGATAAATGATTTGTGAGAAAAGTCAAAAGGCCAAAATGTAATCCAATGTAAGCGAGATTGGGGTCTTATACATACCTAACTTTGACGCGACTAAGTGAAGGAAAAATGATAACAAGCCGGCTCGCTGCTGTGTAGACATCCAATCTTGCGCAGCGCAGTGGTTTGTTCAAACTGCGGTACTTTGTGATTGAGCGAGGTCGTCTTGGCAGTTATTACGATTTACATCAAATCTTTCTACATCTCTATTGGCAGAAAAAACCTATTTCCTCTCATTCTCTTAGGATTCAAGTCACGTGAACTCTACTAACCAATAGGAAAGAGGTCATTTAGCTTCGCCATTGGCCGAGTTTAAAATGCACGTCCTATGGTTTTCAACACACGTGAATAGGCAATAATGAAAAATGGTAGAAATGCTAGTCACTTCACACTCTGAGTCAAATCTCCAGTACTTTTTCGTGATCATTGATTCTTTCTTTCTTTATTACTTATTAAACTATCAGAGTAATAGAATACAGGAGTAGAGACGTGATTATCGTACACTGAGGTTATTTAGTGACCACTAGATTGGGCTAGGAAGTTCGTATATTTGTTTCTTTTTTTAAAACATACATGACAGAAACGCTACTAAATGGCCGGTTCTCTCGTTTACCTATTTAGATAAACAGATAAATCTCTTTGTTTATGACTCTTTCAACTAATTTACTGTTATCAATGGACAGCACTATAGCTACTTACATCCATCATCACATATAAGCATAGATAAATACGATATTTATTTTGGATCTCCTGTGGATTCGGCGGGAAAAATTCCCGCCAAAACGCGCGTGTGCACGTTTCCTAAATCCTTTAATAAAACTGTGGTACATGACCAACAATACTGCCATATGTCAAATCTAAGCGTCTATCAACCATTACTAGACAAAGACTGTCTGAAGACTAATGACTTGAATCCTTATTCACTACCGACTTTCAAACCGCTGGAGAGATTTCCTTACACAAAATCTAACATATTTGCTATCACTATGGCATAACTACTGTAAGGAGATAGAAAAGAGCATTCCTTAATGTGGTAAAGTTTGGTGTTAAAAGGTTTGAGGGAAATAATTAAAGGATATTGGAATGATCAAAGATTAAGTACACTGAGGTTATCAGATAGATATCTAATACCATATGGCTTAAAAAAGGATCCAAAAATCATGAGAGTAAAGAGCCTTGCATAACACAGGGAGGTGTTTGGTTCTAGATATCTATTACTTATACTTTGCTCAATCTTGGTTTCAATGTCATACCCAGCACCATATTGGTTGTCTTGAAGCAAAGACTTTTTCTTGATTTCTTATAGTCAAATCAACCAACATGGCGGCCACGTCTTTGCCTTTGTACATTTGACTTGATAGCCGCCATGTTGACTTGAACAAAAGATTTGGTCTTAGTTTCTTTTAACGCATCAACCAACATGGCGGCAATGTATTTTTTCCCAGGAAAAAGGCTGTGCATCAAACATAGCAAGCAATTTTCCTTACTTGAGGATTGAAAATAGCTCAAAAGTGGTAAAAGTGGTTTTCTATCCGGAATTGTCCTTCAGCTTAGACTAAATCTGAGAATTCGGACAATTCCAGACTAACCAACTAAGAAAGATAAATGTGACTATTTACTCTATAGTCAAGAGGGAATTTTCGTCTTAAGATTGTGTAAAAGGATTTTTCAAAAAATTAGGGGGATAAAGAACGCGATTCAAGAATAGCATTTTAAGTGATTTGTCTTAAATGCCAAGGAATGTATAAGAAATCCTAAGGAATTAATTCAAATAATGTTTGAACTATTGGTATCTTTTGGCTTGTAAGAAAGCCTGAATCTCGGGGTGCATCAACACGACTCCAAACCCCTTGAGATATAAATAACAATGAAACGACAGCCACCATGTTGGTTGATCTTATCTTCAACCAACATGGCGACTGTATCACGTAGCATGCACCGCACCCCCAAAAATTAAAAAGCTGAGTTAAAAGGCAGATTTGTCAGTGTGTTTGGATTCGTATAAGAACCTAGAAAAAAAAGTATAACACTTTGGTGCTTGAATTAAAAAAAATAAATTTTGTTTTGTCTCCAACTGGAAAAGAATTCTGATTCTTTTTCAACTCTTTCTTTGTTAATTAAGGGGAAACAAGCGAGCTGTTTCTCGAGAGGCGAATGTGTTATCGGTATTTTGCATATAACTACCTCACGTTTAGCGAACTGCAGCACAATGGGCCGGAAAATGATAAGAATGTAAACCCAATTCCTTTTATTTCAATCAATCTTGTTGTTTCTTCTTTCTAGGAACACGAAAACCACACAGATGTTTTTCTCTGTGTTCGTGTGTTCTCTGTGCTATTTGTGGTTTCGACGATAGAAAAAAACGCGAAAACGCAAGATTCGGATTTTCCACTGCTGAGGGTGAAAAAGATTAAATTAAAGAAGTCCATTGAGAAAACGTGTCGACTTGCTAGACCAAAACACTTTACGTGTGATATCGGTTCTTGGAGTATAATATTAACTTTATCTATATAAGAGACATTGATGAGCAAAACGTGCTTGTTACAAAACCATATTGTTCGTGTGTTCGATTTTTTGTTGTTATTATTATTATATGTGGGTTTTATCTAATTGTAGGGTTGTCAGAAGGAAACCGCAAATGAAAACATTTATACTACTGGAAGAGTTTTAAAGGCAGTAGCGGATCTTGGGATCTTTAGGAGAAATTCCAAGTGTACATACAGCGTGTACCGTAAGCTTATTAAATATGTATCAACTCAGAATGCAGGAAAAGTTTAATCTAAATTTTGTTACAACCAAATTGAAATTAAACTTTAAGATTGCACCAATTCAAGTCATTCTAATGTTTCTTTTTAACTTTACCTATTTCCAAATAAATGAATATTTAAATTACAGCCTGAAGGCAAAATGTTGCAGTTCAGTCTAGTTACTTTGAAGGTATTACGGATGTAAAGCCTCACGCCAGCCAAGGAAACACATTCTGACTGAAAAACTAATTAATATTTTGGTTTTAACCACGTAGCTGGCGGCGTGTAGATGAGTGACGAAAAAAAGCGTATCATTTCAGCATTTGTTTTTTCAATTTTATTATAAAATAGGCGATAAGCCAGCCTATACTAGGTYATTTCAAGATCCAGAATAGCTGGAATAACTGGTATATTTCTTCTTATTGTTGTTGTCAATAACCCAGAGGTTGTATAAAACCTTTTAAAACCTCTAATTTATTCGTGTTTAGATCTATGTCTACAATTCCTTTCCATCTTCGACTGACTTATCGGATATTGCTCTCCCCGACAACCATTTCTAAAGCAGCTGTGTGTATATTAAAACTTAAAGGTAATGAGATTTTTCTCCCTTTGTTAGCAAATGCATTGTGTACCGTTCACCCGATGACTACACCGGGTCAACTAACTCGACGCCTGCTGAGAGTTGAGAGGTACCGATCGACTGCAAGGCTGTGTTCTTAGCGCCAAATATCTTGAAATATGAAATGTGAAAATGTGAAATATGAACTGTTTCTAAACAAAGATGGTTAAATTCTGATTAATGAATTATAGAAGTACTAACGATAGGTGTTTATATGGATTAAACGCATGCAATTATGTTCAAGTACGTCTAAGATTAGCTATAAGAAGATTCACGGAARCCATCTTGGAGATTCTTTTTCTATTCATCCAAGATGGCGACTGTGGATGATATATTCCGGCAGGACTGAAATGCTTCATGATCATTTAGTTAATTCCTTTAATCTGAACACAAATTCAACAGACAACGTTAAAGATCCTACCTTTCGGCAATGACAAGAACATTTTGGTAGAAATGCTAGTCAGTTCACTACTCAACGACTTTATAATCTACAACACTGTAGTAGTATTAGTAGCAACAGCAGCAAGAGTAACAACAACAACCACATCGTCAGAAGTAGTAGCAACAATAAAAGTAGAAATAGTAGCAGCAAGAGCAGCAAGAGCAGCAAGAGCAGCAAGAGCAGCAAGAGCAGCAAGAGAGCAGCAGCAAGAGAGCAGCAGCAAGAGAGCAGCAGCAAGAGAGCAGCAGCAAGAGAGCAGCAGCAAGAGTAGAAATAACTAGAAGTAAGGAAACAAAATCAGAAATAACGATAATTCTACGATAATAATAATAATAAATAGTAATAATAATAATAATAATAATAATAACAATAATAATAATATTTATGATCATCAAGACGACAACCGAACGGAAGGGAATACAAAATACTGGGCCTGACTTTTGAAGCTAAGTCTATATTTGATTGGACATAACGGTAATGTGAGACGACAGGTAAAGGGAAAGTCAATATCCGTATTAAGCCAGACTACATATGATTACAAACTCAGTAGTTCTTTTGTCTTATATTATGCAGGGCAATAGAGTCAAGGAAATTACACGTTGAAACAGGAACCGCAACAACATGAAAGACAAACTCTATTGCAATAGAATTAACCTCAATAAGCCGAGAATCTACTAAATGATTTTCAAGCTGTATTTTCTATTTTTTAAATGCTAAAAAGAATTAAGAAAGCAAGAAAACGAACGAAGGCAAAGAAAAAGAAAAAACGTGATAAAGAGAAAGATAAAGACACAAGACAGAAAGAACGGCGTACTATCTCAAACTGTCTTATTGTGCAATCGTAAATGAGACAAACATGTAGCTTACACAATCACTTACACTTGACCACGACCGGCTTAAAATATAATAAAGAGAAACCCTAATATTTTTTTTTACAAAAACACCCACAGCAATGTCTTCATCCGAGATATCAGCAATCTATCTTCAAAATAAAATATATTAAAAAGCTCAAAAAGAATCGTCGTACAAACTAATGAAGGTGTACGTTCCAAGTCTAGTATATCGAACAGGAATACAGCTAGCAATGACAATTAAAATCGTTGAACGCCGAAATCTTTGGCGGTTCGAGCCACGTAGGAAGCGGTTCCATGAAAAAAAAAGCTATGTTTTCTATTTTACTCCGGAAAAGATAAAAATAAAAAACGCAAACTCCTTCGATTGTAGTTGATAAAAGAGAACAAAAAAAAAAAAAAAAAAAAAAAAAAAAAAA